CCCCCGACTGAGATTTCATTATTCATTGCCTCTAAGAAAAACAAAAGCGGCGCTGTGCAGCCGCCACGTGCCAAGACACATCGATCCATGACATCATTTCCCCTCATCGTGCACAACGTTTTCAATCAGAAGTCTCAAAGCACGAGCGTCTCCTTTTTTTTCTTTTGAGGGGTAAAACGTCCCTCAGACATGCACACATCCTCCTGTCCTCCGAGCTTTTGTTGCCATGGAAACATCTGGAATAGTATGAAAGATTTTTTTCAGATTGATTACCCTAAATTTTACAAGAATATTTTTCCTGTAGTTTAATTTAGTTAGGTGGTTAAATAAACAATATTTAACCACCTTTTTTCCCCGTCATATCCTGTTTTATTATAGTGATTACCATGCATCTTTACTGTACTTACAATGCCTTTGACTAGTGTGCTACCTAACAAATAAGCACAAATATGTGTGCCTGAAAAAAGACATCCAAGTCTGTTCTTAAGCACCAATAAGTACCTAGATCTCTAAAATCTTGGTATCAGTTTCAAAGAGCGTCTGTGTTCTTACTACCCTGACAGTAACCCTGAGATAATGGCTTGCGTGCGATAGAAAAGCTTCATTCCTTCCTCTCAGCGAAGGGGAAGCGTTTCCGTGGCTGGGATGGACGCAGACTGAGAGTCTCCCGTTGGCGCTCTGTCAAACACTCGTAAAACCATCCCTGCTTCACACGGACGCCCCCGTCACCATGGCAATAGTTTCAGCTCTACACAGGGGCCAATTGCAGTATTACACATGTGGGAGAGGAGGCTGTGTGCAGAGGGAGAAGACGAGGGAGGGGTTTCAATATACTGTGTACAGTGAATGTATTGTAACGTGTATGTTGTCAAGTGCTTTTAAATTATATTTTCATATGTAACGTGGAGACCAATGTTTCCTTTTTGTATGGGGGGACGACAGGTCCTTAGCAGAGTGACTTGTAAATGATGTCAAACTGTCTTTCTATATAAAAGAGAAGCTGCCTAAATGTAAACAAGAAATGACTGAAAAAAATAAAGTAAAACATTCTGTATATGTACTGATGTTATTTCTTTATAGAACAACATTACAGCGGGGTGCATTTAGACAAGCTTACTTTATTCGTAAAGATCTTTGCAGTACAGACTTAAACCACCGTCCTGACATTCTCACATGAAAAGGGCTGCGTCGGACACATGACATACACACACATTTGCCTTGTGATTACTGGGCTTGTGCAATTTTTAAAGCCTGAATACAACACTGTCAGGGGTCACTTTGACATGACAGAAAATAGACAAGCTGTGATGTGGAGCCCTGTGGAGACACACATAGAAATGACACTCACTCATGATCTGGACCTGCACACAAAGCAATGACTTTTTTTCATCACAGTTCAAACTTGAAAACGCGGAAGTACATAACAATAAAAGTTTTTGTCACGTGTCCTGCAGTGTATATGCCTAAAACATGACAGGATCTCCAATAACACAAAGAGACCAGCCCAGTTTCTTACCACCTGACCAAAGTAAAAACAGTCCGCCATTCTTTCAACACTAAAACATGAAGAAGTAACAATGAGGGGAGGCGGAGTCACGACAGTAAGTCACAGGTCTCTCCACAACTTATACTTATTTTCATATGTACAGTACATTCAGAATAAAGCCTTATTTAGTGCAGATACATGGAAACGTAGTGCTGTTTTTGTTTGAACCTTCTGATGTCTGTTACACGTACAGTAGTACTGTATTTTTGGGAGAAAGCCAAGATCTCTTCCCATTCAAGTCAACAAAATCTCCACCTCACCTCTCTTCAAATAAATATACACACTCTGATGATTCTTTAAGACATCACATATTCAGATCTCACTCTGCATTTACACAAAATAATTCCTTTCTGCCTTCCTCAGCTTTGAAACATGTAGACAATATAAATCTTGGCTGCTTCATCACATGAGATAATAATACCCAGGCTAGTTAAATAACAGGGACATACTTAAATACTTTCTCTTCTGGTTCAAGCTCCTGCTACTATTCACTCTTTCAGCTTGAACTGCTTTCATTTTGTCCTTTTGAACACATAATAATTGCATGCACTACTGATGGTGCTTTAGATTCTCAAAGCAGAAAGACAAGCGTTAAAAATGATACAAAAGTAAAAGACCATGGCACTTTCCCCGAGTGGTCCTTTTACCCATGATGTATTAAGCTACCCTACTTAATAAAACACCTCGGTAGCCACGGGACAAACTCTGCTTCCTCTCAGAAGTGGACTACATTCTTTCTAACCTTTGTCAAGATTGCAAAAAAGTGCTAATGATTGTATAATAACAAGACAACTTAACCCAATCGAAATGAACTAAAAGCTGACGACACATTTACCCACACGGTATGTCAGATTCAAAATGTGCCCTTTATGACTTTCATTCGATCTGGTCGAAGTTGAGCACGTGGCCGTCAAAGTGCGTGAGAACGTGCCTCTCGAAGAGCTGCTGCTCACAGTTGAGGGGGAACTGCTCAGAGCAGACGGGGCAGACCTTCCAGTGGCTCTCCACGTGCTGCTCGAAGCTGCGCTGCTCGAAGTGGGGGGGGAAGATCACCTCGCACAGCGGGCAGCGCTTGTGAACACTACTGGGGAGAAAAGGAGAGTGGAGGAGAGATGTCAGTTTTGAGTTAAAATGCTATTAATGTGTTTACCATTAAGTTAAATTAGACTGCAGCGTTTGTGAACATCTTGCATTTACATCCTTAACAGAAAATGCGTAGATCTGTTCAACATACAGTACGGCATGTATGTATTGTAAATATACTATACAAACGATGCATGTGCATACACAGATGCACAAAGTAACGTTTTATGCATCTTTCAAGATATTCTTGCTCATTTTACATCACTATGAATTTAGAACTTTTATGTTGTTCATTTCCTGCACAAACTCAAAGACAGAAAGCTGTGGTTGTTTAGGGGGGGGGGGGACATAGATTTAGCTGGGGCAAGCAGTTTATTTTCAACACTTCAATTTGAAGTGGTAATTCAGTGCAGGCAGTTTTGGAAAAGCCAAAAAGCCCAGCCAGACTTTCAATATGCTTCAATGTTATTTTCGTATTTGACCCAATGTAATGCTAAACATGTACTGCCTATCCCAGTTTTAATGGACAGAAATGACATTTGACAAGAAACTGAAGAACAATGTGAATCTATAGTGTCAGCAGGGAGGAAAATTCAACCTTTAAGGTAAACATGAGCACGAGAACCGCAACCTTCTTTTTATGTTGGCTTTTCTAACGCACCTCTGACACAGGGTTTGACTGACTAACTTTGAGATGTAGTAACTTCTCTTTGCTGTCCTTACTTTTGCTTGTTGTACATCAGTCTACCTATGTATGTGTGTGTGTAGGCACACTACCTGGAGTCAAAGCAGAAGCTGCCCCTGGCTTCTCTACGTCTACCGGACTGATGATCACAGGACGGCTGAGCCCCATCAGCAGCAGCCTATAAAACAAAATTGCATACAAAAAGATAGAAACCGATGGCCATCTATTTGCTCGTAGAGCACACACACAAACACTATCTTAAAAGGTTGTTTACTAAAAAAGGAAAATATGGATTGAAAGGGTTAAAGCCATTAAAGCTTTGTTTCTATTTAAAGAACTACAAATACCTTCCTTACTAGAATCTCTTCAGTTTGCTCCCAAACAAAAACATATAATCCCAGAGACTCTAATTGATCTTGGGTCTGTCCCTTTGCAAAATCCCCCCTAATTACTCCCCAAGCCCTTGTTATCTTCGTCTCTCCTAAGCTCTGAGGGAGTGACGTTAATTAGAGCCTTATGCAAATGAGCTCGTCGCTTTATTTTTAAGGGCAAGCTACTATTCCCTTCATTAAGAGAGGAGGAGAACTCCAGAGACGGAAAGAGAGAGAGGGATCACTCCGACAGCAATGCTTTGGATACTGAAAACACGACATGAGGGGAAAGAAGGCAAAGGCTGGTCCTATAATATCAGAGGTACTGCTGTATTGAGAGCAAATTAATAGTGTGATCAAATACGGCACTTTAACATGTTTCCGTGTCTTAAAGTAGAGCGAGAAGTAAAAAGTGTTCTGCATAATTCTACACAAGTGACGCCTTAATTGATACTTATAAAGCACTGTTATTTTGTCTTACTAATGGATTTACTAACAGACAGGGATTTTAGTTTGTTAGCATTTAGCGTCCCACCTGTATGTGTGTTTATATTCACTTACATTTTGCGGCTCCTCCGGACTACTATCCAGGCTCTCGGGGGGGCTCGTGCTACGGGAGGGCTGGATGCAGACCACCTCTCGGTCCCAGCCTGGGGCCCCGAGGCCTTGGCTCGGGGGTGTGATTGGGGGTGCACAGGGAGGGGCGCAGGGTGGGGCCTCAGGTGGAGGACGGGACATGTGCTCAGGAGACAGCGCAACATCCACCAGGTCTAGAATAAAGTAACACATGGTGTTATTGACCAAACAGCAGCATGACTTAAAGGGACAGTGCACCACAATCCCATTGGCATCACGTTCCTTAATATTGGAGAGAATGCCGAAATGTCTACGTCTGATACATCCAATATTCAGCAGCTAACACCAAAACAACCTCAATTGATACATACACTTCAGGTAGGAAAAAACCCATATTTTGGATTTTTGGGGAAGACTGTCCCTTTAAGAAGAACAGGCAACTGCAGATTTGAAGATAACACAAAATAAATTATTTGTCAACTTTTGACTTCCTCTCACCTTTAGTGGTGTCAGTGGAGTAGGGGTTGCCGTACTGCAGCTCAGCCGGCCTGTGAGGAACCAGGGGTGGAGGAGAGGGGTCCTGAGGGTACGGCAGGGGGTAGCGCAGCACCATGGGCTCTGAAGCCTGAACACCCGCCTCCTGCTCCCTCTGCCTGGACACAAACTGCTGCAGCTCCTGGAGCAGAGATAGAGACAAAATCAAGCACCTCACAGGGATAAACTACATTTAGTTTACATGTCTTTTAAACTGCTATTACTCAGGAGTCCCATTGGAGCGATTAATTTGAGAATATAGAAATAGCCAGCCAGACAAATTTTTAACTAAAGGACATAAATCCTTTAGACACATAGAAACTTTCAAAGCTGTTGATTTATCCTAAGTTATTACACATTTGATATGTTAATGTTTATATTTTTTTCATTATTTTTCTGTATTTCATTGTGATTTTTATCTATATTTCCCTATATATATCTAGTTTCCCTTTCACAGTAAATCCTCCTTTACAGAACTGTGTTGCTCAAGCAGTGTGATGAGTATAGCTGTAAAGAATGAAGTGTTTCCATAGCACATTTTCACTTTAGGAACCACAAAGGCAATAAGTATTTTCAGCTCCGAGTTAAGTGTCCTTCTACATTGTTTCTGCCCTTTGTGATTATATCTGAAGCAGGAGCATTTGTACCCTACTCATTACTGTAATGGGTGTCAGACTCTGGCTCCCTGTGCTCTGGCTCTGCTGATAGAGGCGCTCTCCCTCTCCCTCATTTCCTCTCCTCCTTCCTCTCGCTATTCCCTCCTGACCTCCTCTCTTGATGACTTCATTAGTGCACAGCTATCAGGTTTAACATTTAAACCAGGGTTGGGAAGGTGAAACAGACACGTCGCTTGGCATTTGCACTGTCTAATGGCACTGTACCAGTGGGCGAAAGAAGCAAGTATGGATGTTTTAATTAGTGGAGAGAGGGGAGAATGGAGAAGAGAAGGAAAAGCTACAGGAATGGTTTCAGACACTAAAGCGCTCATAATTGAATGTGATAATAGACCTTAGTGAAGAGCCTACATTATCTACAATGTGAGTTTTAATGTCAGTAAATGCATTTTGATATTAGTTTATAACCAGATGGCTTTTCTAAGTCTATAACCTACATTCCCACTCATTATTAAAATCGAATTATTTCAATAACTGTAAAGAAGTCACAATGCTGTACTGGAATAAACCTCTCTGATATAGAAATGTCCTACTGTATAGTGTGTACTGTGTGTATAGAGTGTACTGTGTGTATAGAGTGTACTGTGTGTATAGTGTGTACTGTGTGTATAGAGTGTACTGTGTGTATAGCACACCTCCTTTAGTTGTTCCTTGTCTTTGAGGGCCTGGGCGAGGTTGCGTTTCAGCTCCGTCACTTCGCTGGCTCGCTCCGCCATGTGCACCTACAGAAAGAATAAACAAGGAGAAGCAAACATACAGCAAATTAAGGTCAGAGTTAAAGAAAATGCATGACAGCATAATTCTATGTTTACAACAAATAAGATACATTTACATTTTGATAAAGAAATTTTCAAATATGCTAAATAGAAGGCGGACCATAACTTGAAATGTGTATATTTTTTATTTCACTGTCCCTTTAAGGTGCGAGCAGAAGCCTCTGCGATCGATATATAGTTACCTGTCAACTATCTATTGAAAATAAGAAAAGCCGTTCTACAAATAAAAGCTGTCTGATTGTTGAAAATAAAAGAATATTGTGAATTAATACATTTGAGTGAATGCTGTTTTGCGTGCTCACAGAAAGGCACCAATGCAAGTAATGTAGCTCCTTATTCCTCCATACAGGCAGAAGTGACATTAAAGACAAACTAAGGCTGCCTCTAGCAAATACTTAAATAATTAATTAGTCTCCTGAGCCTTTTATAGATTAATTAATTCAGTCTATAAAATGAGAGCCCAAGGCAACATGTTTGTATCTCTTGTTTATATCCAAAGGTATTTATTAAGACAAAGAAGTGCAGCAAATAGTCCATGAAAAAGTTGGAAGTAGGAAATGTTTGGCATTGTCGGAATATTTGTCGTTTAATGATCTGTACATTGACCAATCAATTTACATTCAAAAAAAGAAGAAAATAGCATAAATGTTCTACCAGAGTTGATGAAAAGGACAACTCTTAAAAGGAACCTTTTCCCTTTATTTAAAAAATAATTTGGATGAACAACAATGCCTACTCTTGTTCTTTTTCTCAGTGAACCCACATTTTAAAAGAAGTGACAAGTTGGTAAACAAAAATGTATGTTCAGTGGAGATTTACTAAAAGCCTAAAGTGGTATCAAATGTCTGTTGATTCCAGCCAGAGCTACAGAAACGGGGTCTGCATGCGGGGCAGTCTGCAGCAGAGCAGGGGATCGTAGTAAATCTAACTGCAGCGGGACTGAGCCTGTGGGAGAGTTTACATGGCTAGTTGTCTGCTCTTCTCTCATTTCATCCCATCACAGAGGATCCAAATCCCTGCAGTTTCTCTTCCTGCTTCATGTCTGTCTATCCAACCTTTTTTCACTCTTAAATGCTGTCTTCAACCTTTCCCCTCGTCAGTCTCTTTCATCTCTTTGTCATCTCTTGCTCTCCCCCTCCTTTATAAATTTACTGCGCTGCATTAGCGGGTTAGGTTCAGGTGAAGGGAATCTGCAGCAGTGTATTCCTGTGCCTCCCTCCCACCACTCTCTGACTGTCTCGTCCCTCTCCATCGGCCCATCCTTCGGGTGGCTGATGTAAACAGCCTTAAAGCCTGGCGCTCTGCGGCTGCCCTGCCTCTGCTGTCAGTCTCAGGGGCCATTAAGAGCGGCTCGGGCCCCAGGGCACTCGCTTCAGACGGGAGGCTCCATCAAAGGCAGGGGGGGGGCTTTTATTTACAGCGCTGATAAACACACACTCACTCATGGAGATTAAATGCCAGTATGTACTTTGGCCGACATTTGCACGCAAAAAGCAACATGCTGGTCCTGAATCCTGCACACATACCACACACATCGGATCATGTGTGGCATGGAGGAAGCCGGTTACTCCGGTTAATGCATGCTCATATAAACTCTGATGAACAATTGATACTCTGAGACCAAGTGCAGTCCTCCAAAAACTATTTGATAATCTGCCACTAACTGTACCCCGTTTTCTTGACACTTAAGACTATTTGTTCTGCTTTAATACAATATTTAGTACACTGCAGTAACAATTTCCATATTAATCTATGGCTTAAAGGTGGGGTAGGTAAGTTTGAGAAACCGGCTCGAGATACACTTTTTGTTATATTCCATGGAATGCTCTTAACATCCCGATAGCAATGAATATCTGAAGTGCTTTGACAAGAAATCCATTAAAAAAATGTCATCTCTGGAAGCCGTAGTGCTGTAAAAAGCACGACGAATCATTTTAGCCGGCCCGGCTAAAGTAACTGGATGGCCTACCTGCCTGTCAGCCTTCCATCTGTGCACAAACTTATCTCGTGCCCTCATTGGTCATGTGCGCGTTCATGTGTGTTGGAGGAGGGGCTCTGTAAGGAAGTGGCAGATTTTTTCCGGCTGTGTTTTTTCAAATTCTAGCGCACTCGAGCTGGTTTCTCCAAAATTACATACCCCACCTTTAAGTGACTTATCAAGCACTAGTAAGAACAAATAAAGAGAAATATGTGTCGGTTCCAGCCTCCACATGTGAGGACGTGTTGCTGTTCTCTGTTATGTATAATAATTATATTAATTTCCGACATAGTCCTCCACCTAGGATGCAATCATGGAATTTGTTATTAACATTTATTACTATTTAGTGACATTTTATGGACTAATTTGATACATTTTCAAATAAAAAATGTAATTGATTAACCCTTATTTTGCATAAAAAGGTTACATATCAGATGCTATTTATTGTGTTTTTTGTTTACACCAACATATATTTATAAAATGTATCAGAAATAATGAAGATTTTAGGTACAAACAACTGTGTAAAGTTAGGTATGAGTGAATGCTATAATGCCCATTATGACTGGATCACAACTTCACAAGTTCATTCTCTTTGTGTTCCCATCCAGTGAATGCATCCAGGGATAAGAAAAAGATCCACATTTAATGTACTGGAAAATTGATTTAGAAAAGGTTTGTGTGGGGGTCTTCCTTTCAAAATTGCTAATCTAAAATGGAGCGTGCTTGCTGATTTAATTTATATTAGCAGAGGGAATGTTTTGCACTCTTTGCCTTGCTGTAGATCTTGCACACACCTCTCCATTTGCAGAGCTCTGATCACTCACAATGTGCGTTAGTTTGAGTGTTTGTGTTCCTTACTCTGAATCGCTCCTCCTCATTGGCCAGCCGCTGTTTGAGCGTCTCATTGATCGCACACTGCAGCCTCCACTTCTCCTCCATCATCGCCAGCTCCTCCTCCACTGAGCAGGTTTGTGCCTTCTCCGCCTCCCCCATGCTCCTCCCCTCCACCTCCAGCAGCACCTGGTGCTCCACGACATCCCTCACTTCCTCGGCCTTCCCTGTCATCTCTGCCTCGCTATTCTCCTCGCCGCTCTGCCTCTCGTTCTCCACCTCCACCCAGCTCGTCATCCTCAGACTCTCTGGCAGGCTGTCCTTCTTCTCCTCTTTTTCTTTCCGTCTGTCCTCTTTCTCCCCGTCCTTCACTTGGATTTCTTCTCCCTCAGCCTCCGCCTTAGGCCTTTCATTTGGCATTTTCTCTCTCTGCCTGTCTTCCCTCTCTTTGCTGATGTATGCAGCATGCGTGGATTCCCTGTTATTAAGTCCTGGAGTGATTGTCATCTCAGCGGCTTCTTGTAGGACTGCCATAGCTATATTCCCTGTAAAAACATGTTATAGTAACACATATGATCAATAGTCAGCAAAAGAGTCTTTGATTCAGGTATACACACTTTAATAGAAGAGTGTTTTAAGCTGCAATAACTTTTTTAAATGTTAGACAGAGGTGACCCTTTCATTAATACATGGTGTGATAACTATTTACCTTGTACATTTCCAAGACAGAGAATATGTTTCAATGTGTTGTTTTAAGATTGCAGTTTGACATTGCTTAGAAAGCAACATAAAAGCCAGAGAAGAAGATATAATGTTGTCAAGTCAGGCGAGTCATAATACTTACTTTCCTTTGTCATGCTATTGAAAAGCATTATTGTTGATTCAAGATATTCTACCTATTTATTATTTATTTTAAAGAAAAAAAAGAAAACACATACTTTTCTATAATGAATTTCTCTCTATTTGAAATGTTGTATCAAGTTTAGTCACAAATCTGTATATACATGCTGTCAACCTGTGTATGTTTGGGCAAGTACAGAACATCCTCTACAACTTAAGAAATGGAAATTCAATGTATACCATAATCAGTGGTACCTACTGTATAAGTGGTTTTGGATTCATTCGTTTTTTCAGAATGAGTTTTTGCAAAAATTCTATCATAGTATATTTAAGAAAATGAACAACATGCAGATAAATGTGTGTTCACCTGCTGTCGGGGACTCTGGACTCGGGGTCAGCGGCTCCGGTGTCGTCTCTGTGGACACATTCCTCTTTGGCTCCTGCAAAAGAAACAACAAGAATGTTTAACAAAATGTAATTGCTACATCTTTACACAAAAACTGACCTGCATGTTGTTTTATGAGTTTTACTGTAGAGTACTCACCCCCTGTGACTCGGTCATGTTTAGTTTAGCCACCTGCCTGCGCAGGCGCTGACACTCCCGGTACTTCTCCTTGTAGTGCTCAGCCGCCATGTGCAGACGCAGCTTCAGCTCCTCCACCTCTCTCTGCAGCTCGGCCTCTGCCTCTGACACCACCATCATGCTGGGCGTCATTTCCCCACTGCTCCCAACATCCTGGGAGAGAAGGACATTTTGTGTGAAAATCACCCAAGAAGCAAGCCAAGTTTATTTATATAGCACCTTTCAACACAAGGCAATTCAAAGTGCTTTACAAAAATGAAAAACATTAAGAGCATTCAGAAATAGTGCAGCAGAAACGTATTATAAAATGGCATTTCAAAACACTCATTCAAAAGCAAAGAATAAAACATGAATAACACAGGTACATGAATAAAAGCTACAGTGCTTTGTGAGATATGAATAGTTCAATTAAAAGCAGCGGCAAAAAGAAAAGTCTTCATCCTGGATTTAAAAGTAGTCAGAGTTGCAGCGGACCTGCATGTTTCCGGGAGTTTGTTCCATATATTTGGAGCATAATAACTAAAAGCTGCTTCTCCATGTTTAGTTCTGACTCTGGGGACAGAAAGCTGACCAGTCCCTGAAGACCTTGAGAGATCTGGATGGTTCATAATTTAGCAGTAGAGGTCAGAAATGCATTTTGGTCCTAAACCATCCAGTGCTTTATAAACAGCAGCAGTATTTTTGAAATCTATTCTTTGACACACAGGAAG